ATCTGGCTTTTCCCTTTGTGTTACCAATGTGTTTCTTACAATGAATTTGCCACTTCATTTTTGGATTCACATATGAGTTTGAAATGCTGAAGTTGAGCTTGACAAAATGTCTTAAATTTCTCACTTTCATCAAAATTCTGAGTGGTTGTATTTCAAATCAATGATGCTTTCTCTCAGGTTTCCTTGGAAATGTGCTGACCTCTAGGAAACACAAATGTGCTGGCTTCAAGCTTCTCAAGAAGTCTGGTGTGTTTGATATGATTTCTTTTAGTGTTTTGCTGAAAGTTTCACAGTTGTCTTGGTTGTATGTGTGTCATTGTCCAAGCTCTGCATAGGTATATATTTTAGTGTAAGGTGGAATTAGTGGGTGTCTGGGGAGTGTTTCCAGCTCCTCTGGCAAAATACGCTCTATGAGCTCTGGTATTGTGTTTTGCTGCCTAATATGTGTTGCCACAGTGTATTGTATGAGACAGCTTGGATATGCAGGAGGTATGGTTCTGGTTTCCCTACATGTAAAGTGTTAAGGACTGTTTTCAACAGAGATGAGCTGAGAATTTTTCTGACCATACAAACCACCAAATTATTATGTACATCACTACCGGGTATTATAAATAGGATCTGAAAGACCTTACCTACTAGAGACTGAGGGTCTCCTTGCCAGATGGTGTTGTAGCAGCTAAACTTTTACACGTGTTCAAGGGGTGACTGGAGAAGTTCAGGAAAAAGAAATCCAGTCAGTGTTACTAATCATAGTAAACACCTCTGTGGCTCGGGAAGTTCCTGGTCTGAAAATAGTTGGAGACTGGAAGAATTTACGGGATAAGTATCCTACATTTGTGTACTCTGTCTAGCAACTGCTGTGGTCACTGCTGAGTCTGGGGGTATTTGATTAGGTAGTTATGAAATCTGATCCAATGCAACAAACATTATTATGATTTTAAATAAAACTTCCTTCTACTAACCTATTTTTCTCATAACCTTTATATTCTAGTTTTAGTGAATATGGAATTCTCAGATGATTTGGGTATGGCTTGAGATATTTTCATCTAGAGCTGAATGAATCCTTTGAAGTTGTAAATCATTGGGCATACAAGTGAATTTAGATTTGATGTCAAGTTTTGTACTGTACTGTACTTTGTAAAGTACTGTACTAGTGCAAAAAATAATGTTTGTACTTAGTGCCCCATGAATTATGCCCCCTTTCCTGAGTGGCTGCTATGCTTTAGGCTCCAAAAGAAGTCCCGGTGTGAATCCTACAGCAACAGTTAGCAAAGCTACTGTCCACAGCCCTGTGCCCTAGAAGGTCATCAGATAACAAATGTTGAGCATTTCTTTTAGCCACTTTGTCAGCCTAATATTAATTAATCCACCAATTAAACCAGATTTGAGTAGTATACTTGACTACTTATTGCAGTGACAGAGATGAAGACATGTTTCCCTTTTGCTGACCTGCTATGAGGGCAGTGACTACCAGCGGGGAAGGCCTGAGTAGCTGCTGGTTAATGCATGCTAGTTCTGCTGGGGCAGCAGCTGTCCTCTGGGAAACCACAATGAGAAAGATAGTAGAGCGGGAAGAATAAAATGCTGGCCTAGTGGCTTGATGAGACAGTAAAAACATACATGAAAATATTTTAACTTTTCCATGACTTCACATGGCTGATTTAGGCAGAGAAGCTAACTATCAAAGTAAGGTTCAGAGACAGGAAGAAGGTTCAACCAGGACAGGTCAAGAAGTGAGTTTGTCCTGCAGGTCTTTGGCCACATCACTGCAGCTTATTTTTTGCCCACACCCTGGTGGAGCAGAGTGGCCATTTCACATGGCGCTGCACTTGATGCAGTTCTTCGGTCCTTCCTTTTTTTGACCCTGTAATCAATTTTTTCCACTTTCATTTGTGAAGAAAGAAAAGGTTGGGGGTGGAAGGAGAAGCAATTTCCTTTTAATTGCTTGTTTGTCCTTGTCTACTCTCCCATCCTTTCAGGTTTCTCAGGGCAGTGTTGGGGGTGTTTTGTCTCCCTTTTCTTATTTTCACTGGTACTGATGGGAAGAATGACATTTTCTGCTTGGATAGAAACCAATCACTTCCCCAGACCCCCTTGAAAAAGCTTAATTTGCTCAACTAGTCAGTATTCCGTCTTCGTTAAAAAGTCCCAGACTGGAATTTGGATTTAATCCTTTGACTCACGTTTTTCCTTCTCTCCCCTGCCTTCCACATCCCCACTTACATTTCCAAAAGTACTTTCCTCAACATTTTTTTTTTTCTTCTTCTTACCATGCACTCAAGTTACCCTTAGCTCAGTAGGAAAAAAGACAAAAAAATACCCCCCAAACAAAAGCAAATAATAAAGCCCCTCACCAAAGTAAATAAATTAGTAGACAGAGAAAACAGGCTGCTAGTTAATTTTCTTCTGCCTTTCCCTTAAGGCATGAGGTAATGCCAAACTATTCAGTGTGTGATGCAACTGCCTGATGGACACTCAGAGAATTGCAGTAGCGGTAAAAACATAGTTTACCCAAGCGCGAGTTGGCAGTGAGACCAGTCTCTCCAACAAGAGGCTATTTAAAGCCACAATGTGATGCATTTTTAACATTTTTATTCAGCACAGGATTTAATTGCTCACTGACAAACCACCTAGACATTTGTGCCTGGGTGTTTGTGACTGGAATTGTTTGCTATCTGTGTATTGTTTCAGAGCTGTTCAGTCGTCAACTGAGAGTCTGAGGCAGGAATGAGAATTTGTTCCCTTAACACTTGCTGTCTGAGATGGGTCAGGAAGGGTTTTACCCTCTGGTTATGTCTTGCCTCTTCCATTTTTTTTTCCAGTTATTTCTTCCCAGCAACCTTTCCCCTTCTGCCAGCTTGCTCACAAAGGGTGGTGGTGAATGGGATATAGAGATGTACTTGGCTGTATTAGCTTCACCTAGAAATGGGAAGCTGTAGCATCGAGAGGTTAAATGTCTTGTTGAAGGATGCAGAGATAATCTGTGACAGAATGAGGAATAGCCACAGTTCCTGACTCAGAGCCACCAGGATGACTTGGCTGTGCAGATGAGCTTTATGCTAGCTAGTTTTTGCAGCAGCACAGCCTACCTGCCAGAGCTCTACAGCTTGCTCTCAGCCTGTGCCCCTACACTGTTACCACATCTGCTGTAGCTGTTTGGTGATAGCTCATATGTATTCACACACCTTGGTGTTCCAAGCCTGGAATGAATGTCACTGCATGCCAGAAATATGTTACATATACCCCCCATCGATGGGAAACTATGATCCTCAATCATCTGTGTGTTTCTGTCTTTAATTCTTACTTGCCTCTTTGGAAGTCATGAGGTTGAGTTAATTTTACCAGTTAAAACCCACCAGCACTTAAAAAAATGTGCTGCATCAGAGTCAAGTCCTGTTGTCTCAGAGGACTCAAAGGCATATTTCATCACTCTGCTGAGTTGGGGCCTTGATGTCTGCCAAATGTTTTGACATCATTGGACAGGAGTAGCTTTGTACAAGTCAGTGAAGGATGATAGACTTGCATGCACAGCTCAGCAGTTTTATTTCATTAGGGCTGTGCAAGCAGATGAGCCTTAGCAGTATCTTATCAGAGGTGTCAGCGATGAGCTGGTATTTTCAGCAACTAAAGCACCAAAGTAACTCATCTGTTCACTAGTGTGGGCTTGCGGGAGTCACTGTATCTTTCAGTGCCAGAGTTTCCCCACCTGCGTAATGGCAGTAGTGATGGTTGTCTTCTTTTGTGAAGCACTCAGAAACTGCTGATGCTGGGCTCCCTGCAGGCAGGCGCTGCTGGCTCCTGGGAGGTCGCTGTGGGTGCTGATCATCTGTGCACATTGGAGACAGGAGGAGAGTCCAAGAAATCCCAGGCAGTCCTGCTCCCGGTAGCCTCCCTCCCATTGCTGTACAACTCCTGGTATTCTTTTTCTCAAGTATTAATTAACAAATGAGCTAATCCAGAAGCACTTAAATGATTGGTTTGGGTGGACAGTCCATTCCCTTGAGGTTTCTAGGCTGTTTTTTTTTTAATTATTTTTTTTCCCCCCTTATTTTTTCCTTCTCTTTTTTTTTTTTTTTCTTTTCTTTCTTTTAAATGGAGGCAATGAGTTAAATGTGGTGACTGTGTTGACACTGCACAATATAGAACCACCCGCTCCTGTATCGGGTACTTTCGTTGTCTTTACATAGGAAGTTACTGCAGAAACATGTTGCCGGGACATTGCACTTTATGCCATCTCGTTGCATGGCAGGAGTCCAGGCCAGCACCCGGGAGCGAGTCAATGTATGAGATTAGTTTAATCCTCTCTCAGAATCCTCTGATGGGGAGGGGAAGGACAATGACCTAGTGCCAGCGTTTATTTTGTCCACAAGTTCAGTTTGAATAGGGAGGAGAAGGTGGTGGTGGTGAGGAAAGGAGAGAAAAAAACCTTCTTGGAGTTCATTGGGTCTGAAGTGGTGCCAAGCCCTGGGGGTGACTCGCGAATGGGAACCAAAGAAAAGGGGGGAAAGAAGAGTGGAATGATGATTAGAAATCACAAATGAAAGAATCCTGAAGAGGGGGGGAGAAGGAAAAACAACAAAAAAACTTCTCTGTTTCTCTGAATATGTGTAGGGAGAAAAAAAATTCCTTGCCTTTTTCTAAGTGTCCTATTCATTAGCAGATGCACTTGCCCTGCTGCCAAGGGAAAAGGAGCACCCTGAACAGTCCTCCCCTCTCTCCTTGGGAGGCACCTACTGGCTCAACCTAGGTGTGAGAGAAAATACTACCTCTCCCCTGCTGAAGCTTCTTTTGTGTTCCTGTTTCTTGCAGAGCTCTTTGGTCTCTATCGGCTTTTACCCCAACCGCAGCCTCACTGGCTCTTAACAGTGGATGCACACATCTGTAGGCAACTCTGAAATCTCAAAGGCCAGCTTCTCCTGTCTGCTTAGCAGTGCAGAATCACAGCATGCAGGTGGATGCCTTCTAATTCCTCACCTGTGCATTGCTGTCGATGTGGAGCTGTTCCATGTAGACCAGACCCCTCCCATGAAATCACCAAAGCGTAGCATCCAAATCCAGGTGGGACCCTGCATTCTGTGAGCAGTCCTGCGTGTCTGCGTTGTTTGGACGTCTGTGTGGTCAGTAAGCCAGAAGCCTGCATTGTGTGCCTGCAGATACTTGGGCTGAGCACTGTCTGGAAGACCCACGCTTCCTCCAGCGGGGCAGGGGCACGTGCTGGGCTGGGTGCACCACAGCTCGCTCTGGTAGCAGATCCTCTGAGCTCAACTCTTCTTTCCCCTGCAGATACCTTGAACGTGAGCAGTCATTGAGAGCAGCCAGTGGTGCACCCAGGAGGAAGCGGGTTGCAGGGCACGGGTGATATCCACAGCAGACTTTGGAGCGAGTTTAAGTGGCTGCTTTACAAGGGGGCTGCTCGTGGCTCTGACTCTGACACAGGGCCGTGAGACATCTCCTCTGGTCTTACCTCTCTTCTGGAGCTATTTACCATGCGTTTTACTCAAATTTCTTTTCTGCAGGACAACTGAGGAATGTCCTATACACAAGCCCTCAGGGACACACAAAGAAAGGGCATCTGTAGCCTTCTGGGCTTAACAGCAATTTATTTTTCCTCTTTATGTATCCTTCTAGCTATTCCAAGTCTTTTTAAAGTAGGAAGGAACATAACATATATCCTGCTCCCTCCTTTATGCAAAAAGCAGCTTTTAGATTGGACTGCTTTTCATGGCATGCATTGATGTAGAACCCCGTGCAGTCAAGGTCCACAGTTCCCCTTTGCTGAGCAGGTCTTGAGTCCTACCTCTCTCCACTGCGACTGTCCCAGACACAGGTTCTGTCTCCAGTGTTTGCTACTGGTGAATGTGCACTTCTGTTTCTAAAGTGAGACGCTCTCTTTTGTTTCAAAACACACCCAGGCAGTGTTCATCCTCCACCATATGCTGTGGCTCACTGACTAAAGCACACACCTTGGCCACCTCTGCCTGCTCAGCATCCCATCTCCTACCAGGAATGGAAGGTCTCAGCATCAGTAGCCAGCTCCCGTCTACCTCTCCTCCCAGGTGAATCCTGCCTCACTGGTTGCAACTTCAGCAGGAAAACTGGTGTTTGCAGGTCTCCCAGCTGCAGCTCTGACCCTGGATTCCTGTTTCTTGGGCAGCGAGAGCACACAGTTGGCGTGCAGAGAGCAACGCCTCCTCTTTGCTTCCTCGGGCAGTTGGGAAGAGGTGCTCGGGGCAGCCTGTCAGTGTACGTGGGATGTGAGCCTCAGCGCGGCTATGTCTTGTCGCCAGCATCTGTGTGTCCCTTGGGGAGGTTTCACGCGGTCCCTACGGCTTCCCCGCCAGTGGGCCGAGAGCCCCATCTCGCGGCGCGACACGGGCGGGCCCGGCACGGAGCTCGGTGGCCACCGCCGCCCGGGGCTACTGCCGGGGGCGAGCGGGCTTCGGGGGGACAGTGCTTTTACCTTACGTGGCCATGTGAGGAGTGATCAAGCCTGACAGTCCTGGGGAAAGAAACCCCTTCAAGAGCGGTGAAGGCACAGCCGTGGACCCCCGCAGCAGCACGTGGAGGAGGGGGCTTCCCTTTCTACAGTGTATAAACTCTCCCATGTTTTTTCCTGTTTCCCCCAGTAACACACATCTAATTTTCTTTGAAACCATTGTGAGTAAAGAAAGAAAGTAATAGAAAATGTATTCTCCAGGAAGGCTATCAGGTAAATGTAAAATAGATTCTAGCCACTGGTGTGGAACCCCAGGGGAGTACAGATCTCTGTGTGTGTAATGTGTATGTGATTGTTCTTTTTTTTTTTTTTTTTTTAACCAGATGTGATGTTTGGACCTGAATCCAAATCCGGATCTGAATTTCCTCACAGATCAGGTTACTTTTGTTCTGGGACCCCATTTTAATTTGTGGACAGTTGGAGAGACAGAAACACATGTTTCCTGGAAACAGTCTGCATGATGCTGGATCCTTAAGTATCAACAGAAATGACTGAAATACCACATGTAAGTGCTATTGGACACTGTAACAATTGTGGAAAACTGAAGCCTTCTTGCCAAAGTGCTACAAAACGTAATTGTTTAATCTAGTAGGGTATAATAAATGTATTTGGAAGGTGGAAGGCTGACTGACGTAGACCCTGTTTCCTCACCTCAGTGTGCTATTTATCAAGCATGCTTATAGCACTAGTGTTTGCCTGTTCTTTTAAATTACTTTTGACTACTTTTTAACACACCACCAAGGCTCTCTGAGAGTGGTAGAGCTGCAGTGGAACCAAGATATCTGTTTAGCAGGAGAACTGTTGGATGAAAGGGGGAATAGCCCCCTGCTCTGCCCAGCTGCGTCCCTTCCGATGCTTACTCTTCACTGGCAGCAGAGTACCAAGGTCCATGTATTTCCAACTGATGTCATTTGGGAATCAGGAGTGCAGGAGCTGTGTAATCCCAAAGAAGTTGTAGAGACTTTGGTGCTAGCAAGCGAGTTCAGGGGCACTTGCTCACTGGAATCCAAACAGAGAGCCCCTGGGATTCACCATCCCCCAGCCGATGGGACCATGTGCAGTAACACTTAAATCAGACACATCCTAGCGTGACAATACAAGACACGGTTATCCTGGGTTTTCAATTAGTTCACAGGAAGCTGTCAGGAAAGAAATATTCCTGGAGCAGCCCACCAAGTCTAGAGTTTAATTTCTCTGTATACTTTTCTAAAGTGATCTCATATTATAACTCTGAAAGTGGAAATCCAGGGGGTGAAATCTGTATGCAGTTCCATGGTGAAGAGTATGCATGTGTGTGAAAGGGGTGGAGAGAGAATCCTATGTGGCTTTCACTGCTCGACTGTCCGCTGAGAGCTGCCTAGGGTAAACGTAGGTTCAAACTGTGTGAGATGTGATTGGTGCTCAAACCCTAATCATTGTTCTGTAAACATCTGCAGGAAAAACATACTTTGGGGTTCATTTTGCTTTATATTTAATGTTACTTAGTTTTGCAGTTATGTGAAACGTGGTTCAAACATTGTCAGAGTTTTACAACCCTTCCCGAACCACGTGCTTGACTTGTCCTCATTTTGCATCAATGTAACAGCAGTTAAAACAAAATTCCAAGCAGTGAGGAATCTCATACAGCATAAACACACAGGTTTGTTGTGGGGACTGCTTTTAGACACAGCCTTTATATATAGTTATTGCCAAATCCTGCACAAAAGTCAGGCAATAACTTAGACAAAACAACAGGGCATGTACTATAACAAGCTTCATTATTATTAGCTATCTCACATGAGGGAAACTGAGTCAGGAGCATACATCCATTTCTGCATTAAGGCAGAGCAACGGTCAGCATTAGAGCTGTGTGAAGGACACTGTGGCTGTAACACAGCAAGCTATGTTTTGGATATTTTACTTTCTGTATATATCCAGTTGGGGACTGGTTAAATATCCAGCCCTATTTTCCAGCTGCCTTGCTAGACAGCCTGCTTCAGAATGGAATAGTAGTTACAGCTGTGAGTAGCTTAGCCTTTTATCTCCGTGGCGATTGTAACGTGCGTCACTTGTATTAGTCTGAGTAACACAAAGCATAATGCTTTCTTGGCAAGTTAGGCACCTGCAGACCTTCTAATCTAACACAGTAATTAAGACCTTGCCTCCATCCAGCTCCAGTGAATGAGGGGGTATGAGTACTGAGGCTGAGCGCAAAAGCTTTATTGCATGCTTAGATGATGAACGTGCAACGCTATTTGCAACCATTGTCTTCTATTTCTGTAATTATATTCAGATTGCTACAGTGACTTACTATAAGCCTGGGCAGGTACTGTTATGTTAATGTGTTAACATTCATGTTGCTTTTTTGATTGCTACCTTAGATTTCGAAATGCATGGTAGCAGACAAATGCTGTTAGTGTTACAGTGGGGAGAACTGAAGCAAAACAGGTTTGTTTTCAAAATTGTTTGAGTGGTTTTGGTTTGTTGGTCTCACTTTCAAAAGGAAGATTTTCCACCAGGTGCCTCTCCCTTCTGTGAGAGCAAGGAAAAACATCAGGGCAGCACTGCACAGGTAGGATGATGCAGGTTCATTGTTTGACACCGGTGTTCTTGATGTTTGCAGGAGTGCCCCAAATCAGATGAAAGCACATATGTGCTTAGGTGCTTTAGAGGGTTATCATTGCTTGGCAGAGTTGGGGGCAGCTCTTTTATTGGGGAAATGTTTGGATGATAGTTATTCCAAGTGCATGAAACACAGAGACTACTGGCTTTGGTTTTTTGGGTTGTGGGTTTATTTATTTGTGGATTCTTTTTTTTTTTTTGCTTTTGTTCTGTGTTTTTTTGGGTTGTGGGTTTATTTCTTTGTGTTTTTTTTTTTTTTTTTTGCTTTTGTTCTGTGTTTTTTTGGGTTGTGGGTTTATTTCTTTGTGTGTTTTTTTTTTTTTTTTGCTTTTGTTCTGTGGTTTTTTTTGTTTTTTTTTTTTTTTTTCCAAAACCTTTTTTATGTGCTTAATGAAATTCTAACGCCCATTCAATGTTTATTCAACCAAGCTGCTTTTGGTGTGATTTTTTTTTTTTTTTTTTTTTTTTCTTCCAGCTGGCACTGGACTTCATTCAGATTTCTGCCCTAAGCAGCTCTAGACAATGCCATCCCCACAATAGCAGCAACAGTGCAATTTTTTTGTGTGTATGCACTTTCCCAGTACCTGTCCCCTCTGATGCACCATCGTGCAGTTTGTCATGCTGGGTATGATAGTGAACTGTCTGCTGCAAATCAGAGGGGAGACCCACCTGTGTGGTTATCAAGATTTTCTCATGTGTCAAACACTTCTGGGGGAATCCTGGCCCAGGCTAACTATAGCGGGAGTTTTGCCATTGACGTCAGCAAAGCAGTAGTTTCACCCAAGGCCCCTAACGAGGTGCAGTGGACACAAACCAGGACTCTAGAACAAACTGTTCTGTATCCCGTTACTCGCCTCCTGCGCCAGCCCCTCTCCCCGCACAGCACATGGCAGAACGTTGGGATATGCTGCAACCCGTGCGTGCGCAGCACATCTTCCTTGGAAACAAGATAAGAGCAACATCTTGGCCGGGTGACATCCCTTCATGAGCTCATGCGCTGGCTCTGTCCTTGTTCAGGCTTCTGTGTCCCATGGATCCCTCTGGGCCACACTCTGCAGTTTGCTGGGTGCTCCTTTTGGGAAGCACAGCTGTCAGCTCAGGCTGAGACAGGATTTATATGCCCCCTTCTCAGTCTGCAACAACTGCTTAGATAACCATCGCAGGCCTGTAGCTTCCTAGCTGAAAAAGCACAAGCATTTATTTGAAAAGCAGGTCATTGAGGAGTGTTTATAAGGGCTCAGGTTGATTCGGAGAGGTTATAAAGCCCTTCCTAAAGCTCATTAACAACTTGCTGCAAAAAGAGAGTTGCAGTTCCTCGACCAATCATCTCCGGACCGTCACACAAAGGCAGCTTAATGTGAACTGTTGTGTATTATTTAGGAACATGAGTGATGGAGGAAGAGAAGTTCTGGAAATGTGAAAAAGTATTAAGTCAAGGGAAACTGTGTCCTGGGCTTTTGGCTGCTAATGGGCTTAAGCATAGATCATTTCAATGGTCAAACTGTTAGGCTGGTATTAGACCTATAAACTACTTTAAAACAGCAGCATCTTAGTAATTTTGGAGTGTATCAGTACCAATACATGTGAAGTGATCAGAAATAGGCTGGTGTAGTTCCAGGAGCCCTCTGCTGCATGGCTGGACTTGCGGTGGGAGGAGAGGGTGTGCAACATTCTTAAAAACTGGAAAACATCTACAGTGAATTAATTGTGGGAAGATTTTTCACCCTGTACTGAGTCCACATATATAAGAGTACATATATTTTTAGCAAATGTATATTTTTCTGTTCTGTTTTCAGGTTTATATGATTGATTTCTAATTTATTAGGGGTTGAAAACTGTCATCAGAGGAAAAAAAATTATTTCTTTAGTGCACACAAAGGACTGTCTATTTGATTTAATGTCTGTTGTTGTGAGTGATAGTGTTTGCTCCCTACAGCTACTACACATGCAGGCAAACCTAGAATTATGCGGTAGACACGCTAAATGTTTATTAGTTTTTCAAGGCTAACCACAAAGAGAAAATGAAAAACAGAAGGGGAATAAACTCTTATTCTTCAGGCTTTCCTCTGACTAATGGAAGGAAATATCTCTGGGCTGGCTAGTGATTCATCATCCACAACAGAGGCTCCTGACCCAGACTGGTAGTCATGGTTGAATTTAGCCATTGAACCGATCAGATCTGGCAGTTCCCGTGTTCCTTACCTGAAGGTGCCAACAGCAAGTAATTATTTGCCTCTGTGTTCTCAGCTCTGGTTGCAACTCCTTCCCCGCTGCATCCAGATAGCAGGAATGTACTTTAGGGTTCCTGGACCACCACGCTGTCCCACCCTGCAGAAAGCTGGAACAGTCCTTCGTGATCTTTCTCCCAAAGCTGCTACTCAGGCTCCAAAACGTACCTTTGCTTCTGCACATCTGTGCATGCAGATACAACACCTAAAACTTCAAAGGGATAGCGAGAGTAAAATACAGGTTCTTTGTCTGCAGAAAGTTTCTAGATAGCTTGGATATTTCTTTTTGCTACTTTGGGATCTCTGACATATAGTTCCTTTCTGGATGCTCCTGCTGCCATCTGGCAGAGGGAAATGATGCATGTGCATGCATACAGGTACCTGTGGGTACAGACACTGCTGCTTTGCAACAATACTTTGTTGCGTGCAAAATCTTTTTCTTCCTTAAGATGCAGTGTTCAGATTTCATTTCATACAAGTCAGAACAATTCATGCCAAAAGGGTTAAGAACCTAATGGAAAAATCAGCTTTGAAAAATGTGTATGTGGGAAGGGTTACCATCACACCAGAGGACTGGCATCGTTTTGCTTATTAGATTTGCTAGTGTGTGAGTGTGATGGAGCACTTCAACAGATCAGCAAGATTAAGGAAGCTGAGAGGTTTAGGTTTCCCCCTT